TGATAGCATCTAAGTGTTTAAGGACATCTAGAGGAGCATGACCAAATCTGTTGTGCCATAGAGCAAAAAGATGACTACTGTATTTATTATCTGTTGTGTTTATGATAGCATCCAACTTAATCGCCTTGCCAATTAAGTATAGCCCATCACAAAGTTTACCAATCACATGAGAATTTCCAGTCAAGATTTCCTGCAAAGTGTAGAAGTCAAGGTAAAAAGAAATAATGCAGTTTACTGCTCTAGTTAATCTAGAAATTGAGATCACATTATAACAACATTCCGAGGCATAGTACACATCAGTTAAAACAATGTTATCAAACAGTTTGAACAGTGCCTGTATGTGTGACAGTGATTTTGTCGCCATTAGGCATTTTTATCCTCCTAAAAGGTCCAATATAAACACTAACACTATTAAGCATAGTTAAACTAGAAACAACATGACAAGAGGCACCATAGTCTAGTATCCAATGAGTTCTACTTAAGGAGACTGGAAGGGCATTGATCAAACCTGAGATATGTTCCTCAATGGGTGCTACTATACCAACTGCCACCTCCTCTAAATCCTTTTGGAGAAGCTGTAGGATTCGATTGTATTGTTGTTGAGTGATTACTGGTTGAGAGGTTGCTGAAGGATGATCTCTAGTAACTTGATTAATTTGACTCTCTGACTCTTTCTTGCCCTTGAAATTGGGAGGATACCCAATAAGTTGGTAGCAATTGTCCTGTTTATGCCCTTTTTTATGACAATAAGTACATTCTTCACCTTGAGAACGACCTCTACCTCTCCCTCTCCCTCGAGTTTGTTGTCCTCCTCTAATTGCCATAGTTGCCCCTTCTAATGGATGGTTAGGGGTTTGAGAGGAAATCATACGGTGATCCTCATCTTGTGTAATCATAGAGTAGGCTTGATTAACAGTGGGTAAAGGTGACATAAGAAGGATTTGGGAACGAACTTGCTGAGAAGACTTATTCAATCCCATAAGGAATTAGAATAACCTCTGTTGTTGAATAATCTTGACATATGCCTGGGTTGTTTCACACTTACAAGATGGAAATGGGACAATAAGGGAATATTCATCCCATAATACTTCAAGCTTTGTAAAGTAGGCTGCAATAGTGAGAGTACCCTGTTGAATCGTAGATATGCTTCTGTGTAGAGTGTATATCTTTGTCCCATCCATTTTTTGAAAACGCTTCTCTAAATCTTTCCAAACTAAATGCGCTGTATCAGCAAACACAATCCTGGTAGCTATCTCTTTGTCAACCAAATTAATTATCCAAGATAACACTACTACATCACATCGGTCCCATTGATCGGTCAATTCAGGATTTTTATCACGCCCGTAACTTCCACCAATAAACCCCATTTTATTCTTCCCTCTGAGGGCTAAACACATAGCTCAGCTCCATATGACGTAATTATTAGAGCCGGTTAGAATTTGAGAGACGAGGGTTGTTGCTTGAGTGTCTGAAGGATGAAGATATAAGGGGTGATTCACGTCGATTACCATCTCTTTAGACAACATTGGAGATTCGAGATTGAAGGGGAGAAAGAATGAGGAATAAAAAGAGAGCTAAAATTTTGTAACCAAGAACCTGTGAATTTGTAACCTGAGGACTCTTCTCCCAAAGATTGCACTGGAAGAACCAAGAGAGGGATACCCATGATTTTGCAGGGGTTGAACTTGATCTAAGAAGAAAATTGAACGCTAGCAAGTACAAAACACAATCAAACTTCCAGCATCAAACAGCCACTCTTGCACGACGTCGATCTAAGAATCTGGCAAACAAGCAGCTTATCGGCCAAGAAGATCATCATGCGGCGTTGAACAGAGATGGAGAAGGCATGCTCGCTGTAATTGTCACAAGAAATCTCCCGATATTGCAAGAACCCAAAATCTTGCTATCAACGCCGTCGTTTTGCTTCATCTAACATTGAAGCTAGCAAAACAGCATCTCTATGCCTTCACACCACGAGCTATGGACTTGGGCCTTCAGGATTCATAACTTGGCACTCTGGTACCATGAAAACCAGAAATTAACTACCTGAAAATATGATAACCCAGTCAAAGAGATATTGACTGGCAAGCCCATATATATATATAGAGTTGTCCAAGTACATACAAGAAGTGGACCAGACGGTGGCCCAATCATGACTAGGCCCATATACATTCTAACACTTCTTACCAAATTGAATGGTAAAGTATTACCATAAATGCATTTACAAATATCTTGAATTACTAACTCTATATCTTTTAACATCTCATTCATTGTTTTCTGTTTGATAGTTTTTGATGTCCCTTCCTTCCCCTTAGCATCTTGAGTAGTTGTTTCTTCAAATATTTCAACACTAGTAGCATCTTTATTTTTTTTCTTCTCTATTTTCTAGCATTTTAACAAACAACTTTTTAACTTCATTAGGAACACTTGTACATGGACTCACATTCTCTCTAGTTCCAGCCAAATGATGTTTCATCTCGGCTACCTCATCCTAACATTGATGTGAACAGTATTTGCATTTAACCATAAGTCTATGGGAAGGGATACTTTCATGATGTTTCCATGTATCGTCAGCTTCCTTTTTTTTCTTATTCTGATTCTGACTCTTTTTTTCCCACCAATATAATATCCAATAAAAAAATAGGGGGAAAAATACTAAACAAGAGTAGAAGAGAAAAGAAAGAACCAGCAAAAGAGAAGACTTCAATATTCAAACTTGAAAGCTTCCAAATTTCAGCCAAATGGAATCGACAGTAAGAGAAAAAAAGAAGCAACTGGCGTGGGCGACAAGATAGAGAGTAAAACGTGAAAAGAAGAGCAGGGGAATAAAAAAAAAGTGTTCGGCAGTTACCTCCCTTATATAATCGAAGAAAAAAAAGGAAAAAATTCAAAAAAAAAAAACTAGGTGTTTCCTTGTGTTGGGTCACGTACAGGTCCGGGTTGGATCTACACGACTTGACATTGCCCAAAATAGCGCGATGCACCGGCATCACATGATTCTGGTATGAATCACGTGATTTAGGGCATGATTCAGTGGCCCTTAAGATAAACTCGGAGATTCGTATCTCCCAGTGTATATTCTGTAATGAATCGTGCAATTCGTATCCCAAATCGCTCGATTCTAATAACACTGCACTATACTCGTCTATTATAACAGAATATGTGTGCATATTCGTCTGTTTTGCCATAACAGACGAGTATAGTGCTTTTTTTTTCCTTTTGTTTTGAAAAAAAAACAAAAATGACTTTATTTGTAGTAGTGATTTTTTTAATAAAAAATTTGCTAAAATTTGTTACTCTCAATGTCCCTCTTAGTTCTTATTAAATTATTTTTAATAAAATTTCTATAAAATTTGTTGCTCCTGAGCCTCGATATTCTCTTCATGAATAGTAATAACTTCATTTTGGAGGTCCATGCGATATGATGACGTGATCCCATGGTTTGAGGTGACGCTTATTAAAATACTACCACATGAGCATGAACACAAATAATTAAAAAAATTACAAATGGAAAAATATAGATAAGAAATTAATTCATTCAATTTCATCCAAAATTTTCAATTGTTTTTTAAATAAATAAATAAACGAAAAGAAAAAGAAAAGAATTGGTGATTTTTATCAATGTCTCTGATCATAATTAAGAGTTGGTTAACTAAATGTTCTATAAAAAACTGGAAGGAAAAAACCGGCTTGGACTGACCGGTTCAATCGGAAAACTGGTGAACCGATCTGCAGTCCGATCTGATTTAATAGTTGGACCAAGGACCAATCAAACAAGTAAAAAACTGGTTCAATTGGTGATAATCGGTATAGAACTGGGTAATCCTGATTGGCTGGGTTAGCTAGTTCTTTTTGTTTTTTTGTTTTTGATATATGGGGCTAGAAAAGGGAAGAAGGGAGGAAAATGGAAGGGGTCCAGCGTATAAATGATGGAAAAGAGGAGGAAGATAAAACATACACTAAGAAAAAAAAAAGTAGAAATAAGAACAAAATCAAGAATTAGAGAAACATGAGTGAAAAAATTGAATGTCTTACTTATCTATCATATTAATGGCACCTCTGGTTGTTTCTTCCGGTCTAGTTATGTTTACCTTTGGTCCAGTGTGAGAGAGAGAGAGATGCCTAAGAGCAGAAGAATATGAGAAGCGAAGAAGAAGCCATTTGTTAATTAAAAACGTAAGTTCCTGAGGCTTCATATAGGGAGATGGAAAGTCAAAAAGTTTCACTCTGCATCTGCTTCATGTCCGCACCAAGCCCGATCACCGATGCATGGCCTATAATATGCCTAAGGCATCAAGAAACTTTAACTTGAATTATTAATTTTTAAATGAATTCAATTAATATGTTGTTTATTTAAATATTATTTTTTATGATTAAATTATATTATTTTAATTGTAACTAGTTTAATATCCAGTCCAATTTTTTGAATCTTGCTATTTATTATTTATGAATTTTGTTTTATTTTAATATTATGAATTAAATTATAATATTTTAATATGATCAGTCCGATCCCGGTCTGACCCCTGATTTGACCAATGACCTTTAACTCACTGTTTCAACCGATTTAGTCTCCAGTCCGATTTTTTGTTTTTTGAAAACCATGAACACTATTGAAGATTAAGAATCACTTTTAAATGAACAGAGTAACGGGTGAGAGACAAAGGTAATAAGCCAACAAGAAGAACACATATTGCTGCTAACCAGTATTGAGCTTTAATTTCTTCTCCGAATCATGCAAGAAAATCTCAGTACACCTCCCAGCAGCCAGAAAGTGGCAGCAAGCAATCTCGCTCGCTCTCTGTCACTTCCAGTACAGATACAATTTTAATTTAATACAGTTTAAGGAAAATCTGTGTGAATAATTAAGACCTTATTCACAGCAAGTCTCTCTTTTTCACTCAACGGTAATACAATTTTAAAACGAGTGGTTGAAATGATATGACGATGCTTTGTCAAACTAACAAAGAAAAATCATTAAAAAAAAAGCCAAAAATTATTAATTCTTTAATCAAGTTAGATAATAATATTTTATTTAGTATTGACCACACTGAATTTGTAAATAAAAATAAATTTTTATTGACACTCCTTATCTCATATTTAATAATTTTTAACTTTTTTTTGGGGTCATTTTTTCCGAGAACAAATTAAAGAAATCACATACTATGAATTTTGACATGTTTCTGAGGATGATATGTAATATAATATAAAACCCAGCAGTAATATATGGCCACATGAGAGAATCCTTATTTACTATCAGTAGGGCCCTACTAGTGCAAGGTGATTACCAAATTACTTTTCTTTTTCACTATATTGTCTTTACATAATTTTCCTTAAAATTCTCTGCTGTTATCTTTTCTTAATTTTTTTTAAGAAAAATACTCTAACCACCCTCTTATTATATTTTAATTATACAGACCTCTTTTTTATTTTAAAAACATATATCTAGGCTCAAACTACTGATACTGTTAAGAATATTCTAAAAAGATTTTAAAAATATATTTTTAAATTTAATTTTATATTAAAATAAATTTTATTTACTAATTTATCCTTAATAAATCCCTAATTTACTTGCCAATTTGCAAACTTTTTTGGGGGGGGGGGGGAGCAAGCCGCAAGAACCGCCATGGACGGGCATGGAGAAGACAAATGAAGCCATATGGAGAATCACCAAGACAACAAGAGCATGAAACTTACGAAGAATCCGTTTGTCTTTTCTTTCAAATCCATTAAACAGAGTAATTGACATATCCAATTATTTTTTCCTTCTGGAAAACAAAGCTCTTTGTTTGTCGTGTCAGCGTGATTATATAAATAATACCAATAAAATTGAGTTTAGCAGAAGGGACTAGTTTCTCATAATGTGAAGAATCAATATTCGAATTCCCGCTAAGAGAGGTACCCACATTTAGTAGTTGACAGTACCTTAAATAGGATTGCTTCCAATAGAAAGATACTTATACTTTAACAAAAAAAAAGTTTAATAATATCCTTTTAAAAACTTTCTCTTTGATCATGATTAATGGTTTAAAGTTATGATGACTTCCTCTGATACCCACGTATTAACCACTTAAGAAACTAAAATAAATATGATAAAAAATTAAAATTATATATAAAATTTTATAGTATAACAAAAATCAATAAATTTTATAATATATTAGAAAATTTGAAAATATAAGCATGCATTAAAATTATTGTTTTGTTGTATAACTTTTTATTGAATGATTCTTGAGTTAAATAGGGTCATTTTGGTAAAACAAAAGTTAAAAAGTTAAATTTAATGATTAATTAACAGTTTGAATGGGTGAAAATAGAATTTTAAATATGTAAGGAAGATTTGTATAACATATATTTTAATTTCAAGATAGATTTATATGGGTTTTCAAATATGCCTTCATGTCTTCATCAGTATCTTTATTTCTCCCTTTGGTTCATTTGACATTGAATCTCGTGAGAAAAGGTATGCAAATAACTTTGGTATTAGAAATGTCAATAGCCGTTCGTCTTAAACATCATTATAGCTTCTTTTCCTTTTAGTTTATTGGAATTTTGATAAAAGTATACAAATAATTTTGATATTATATTTTGATTTTAGTATTGAGTTTATGAATTTATTTCATTTACACATAAATTAGTTAATTAATTCATATTAACGATGAAAGAATAACGAGCTTGACTTACTGCTGCACCCACTAGCTTTCTCACTATTTCAGCCACAATAGAGACGCCAACTTCCGCCATTTTGAGCTAATCAACCCAATGAAGGTTTAGTATCTGAAATGAAACATTTTTCAGTTTATTAACATCATTCCCATGTGTGTTTGAAAGAGAAGAAATCGCAATTCATGTAAATATATTATGAGTTAAAAAGTTAATTTCATCACAATATTTTAAAATCTTCTCAGGTTGCTGGAATTTAGAAAGAAGAAAGAGTGCATACCGTTCAATTTGTAGCAAGATAACTTGAGATGCTCATAATTTCTCAGAAATTTCGATCTTCTTGTAACCCATAAACACAAACCCAACTTTTAGTTCTTCTTCTTTTCCTTTCTTATTTGGCAATGGCAATGACTAATTCCTCATCACAATTTCAATTTCTAACATTGACATTTCAGAGGTCCCCGCTCTCCCAGCTCTAGTCCACATCAAACTCTACGTTTACTTGCTGTGGAAATTACAGTTTCAGATTCAAGATGAAGTTGACATTAATAAATAAAAACTTTAGATAATTGGAAAATGCGGTGGACATTTTTGCCTGTAAGATTTTTTTGAATCATATTTTTTAATTTGTTCCATTTCATATTACGAACAAACCATGATTTTGTTTGAATCTTCCGAAGAAGATGAAAAAGAATCTAGAAATAAGACTAGTCTTAGTCTCTTTTTTTTTTTTTTTTTTTTTGCGACCCTGAAGACTAGTTGAACGTCATATCATTTTCCCTCTATTAATAATGCAGATGGTGGGGTTGGGACTGGTCATAGCCTTTCGCCCTTTCGTCCATTATCCCTTATTTTCCGTTTAGTTTTTTGGAATTTTGATGAAATTATATAAAGACCTTGATAGTATATTTTGATTTTCAAGTACTGAGTTTATAAATTTATTTCACGCATATGTAAGAAAAAATTGCAAAAAAGTCCCACTTAAAAGAATTAAATACAAAAAGATCCTTTAAAATTATCAAATTATTCTGAAGTCTCAAGAGAAGAAATTCCATTTGTTTAATTACCAAATTGTCCTTATTCTTTTTTTACGTATGCATTGACAGCTGAAAGTGCAATCATTAATAATTTAAAGTGTAATGATTAATAACTCTTACGACAGATATTGACAATTCATACATTATATTTTTGTGATGCACTGAAAAAATATGTTGTTAATACCTACCGTGATAGTTGTTAATTGTTACACCTTAAGTTGCTAACGAATGTTATTTCAGTTGTCAATATATACTTTAGAAAAAGATAATTTGGTAATTAAACAAATAAAATCTCTTTCCTTAGAATTTCAGAATAATTTGATAATTTTAATGGATCTTTCTATATTTAATTCTCTTAAGTATGACCTTACTGCAATTTTCCCTATATGTAACTTAAATAATTAGTTCATTTTCATGGTGAGATTTATTCCTATTCTTAGCTCACTCCACTCACTTCCATCAATTTTTTCACAAGTGTTTGCGTAATGATCTTGATATGAACACACCTCAAAATAAGCAATAGAACAGAGAAAATTGAAAGGAAGAATCAGATATTGAAGCTAAACTGAAACTTCATATCGAAGTGCCTATAACAGCTACATATATATATATATATATATATATATGTTAACGTATATATATGTGAGGTGAGATTCCTGTGGTATAGGCAATATAATACGATTCTGGTCCAGAGAATAACAGTAACATAAAATTCAGAAGAGGTAGAAGAAGGCGACAGAAAAAGGCAGAGAAGGATTAGGCAACAACTTTTTCTATGACCCTACTCAATCCATGGCCTCTCTACATATCCTCTAAAGGCTCTGTTCCTTCCTACCCCTTCTGGCTCAAAACTTCTTAGTCAATCATATGCAAAATTTGGTCCATTACAATATCATTATAGATTGAAGAACCGATGGATTATAAGGATCAAACCATAGGATTCAATTTTTATAGAAATTTTTTTTGGAAATATACAAACATTTCTTGCATAATCATTAATTACCACTTGAGCTTCTAAACATGGAATATTATGCAATCCAAGTATTTTGCTTGAGAATTTACTTCAAGTAGATAGCTTATTAAATAAGCTATTAACTGGATTACAGAACACATATTCCATAAGTTGCTGTACCACAAATAAATAGTCCAACGATTATATAAAGGCATCTCAAACTTCATTTGAATTTTCTAAGTAAGCAAAAGAAGCTTTAAGAGATAACAGTTCAGTATCACAATTTATTGTCTCTTAGCCAAGCTATGAAAAGAAGCAGGATTGGTGATAGCAATCTCACAGTGCAGGCAGCAAGGGTCCCAGGCCAGCACTACCCCTGAGATTTTTTTTTTCAAAAATGTAAATCCAAATAAATTAGAAAATAGAATGACGTTCGAACACTAATTGAAAGAACAACGAAGAATATAATCTCAAGTCCTTCTGTTCTATAATGCATTTTGATAATTCATAGAAACAAAGACCACCATAATTTCAGAGACTTGAGTCTTTCTAGGCATCGTAGAATATTGTTTACTACAAGGAGTAACTTCGACCATTACAGAATTGATTTTTTACCAGAACTTTTTTCATTTTCAAGAATCAAAACGTTAAGCTTCATCGTATCTTCAAAAAAAAAAAAATCATTGGTTTCATCTATAGGGGCCTCAAACTTTGTTGAGATGAAAAGCAACTCAAGTTCAGGACACTGTACTCTAGCTTATGTGAAAGTTTTTCCATTTTAGTGATCCATAACCATCTCACTGTATCCCTTGTGATCATATCCTCTTAAAATGCATTTTGACTCCTCATAAATTCTAGAAAAGATTGAGAGCTTTAATCAATTTCTCCAATATTTGTGGGTTAACTAAATGATCTATAGAAAAGATCAAGAATCATAATATATATATATATATACACACACACACACATACACAAGATCATACCTAAATGGATATACAGTAAAAGAGTCATAGACTAAGAAACGCGACGACAAAGCCAGACCACATACTAATCTATGTATGGAGCTTTAATTTCGATCTTCTCCAAACGAAGCCACCACATTAAACCTGAGTACACCCAGAAGCCAGAAAGAAGCAGTGATTTCTCTCTCGCACTTTCAGTACACAGACTTGACTAAGGGTGTGTTTGGGTGACACCCCAAACCATGGTTTGGGGAATAATCTACCCAAACACCCCCTTCAAAAATCAAAACCATGGTTTTGGATCAAAACCATGGTTTTGACTCTAAAACCATGGTTTTGGAAAAAGCAAAATTTTTTTGCTTTTGGAGAAAGAAGGGAGAGTGTGAGGGCCTATATGATATGTATCTTGTTATTTTTTTTATAAACATATTTTTTATAAATATATTTAATCTTATATTTTATAAATATATATACACATTAATTATTTATTAATTATATTATCTTATGTATTATTAATTATGTTGGTAAAAAACATATTATTAACAATTTTATTCCTTCAAATTAAAATATATCATAAAATCTATTTTTTCTATAATTATCATATTAACTTATGTATTTTTTTTAGTAATTTGTATATATAAAAAGTGCTTCTGATAACAACTATCCAAACACTCTCACTTTTCAGAATCACTTTTTTACAAAATATATTCTTCACAGAATCTATTTTCCCCAGAATCTATTCTCCAAAATCACTTTTCCAAACCACGATTTGGTTTCATCCAAACACACCCTAAGTGAGACCTTATTCTTGCCAAGTCTCTCTTTTCCACTCGAGGGCCTTCAAAGTCATGCTTTTATTAATTTAATGCAAACAGATCCAAACACATTATAAAATTTTAAGAGAATGGATAAAGCCTGTCGTAATACACTTTCGCTTGTTTCAGAGGATGTTATATGATATAAAACCCTGCAATCATATATTGCCACATGAAAGAATCTTCTCTTTATCAGTAGCGCCCTAGGATCAATGTAATTATACTCATTACCAAATTACTGTTTTTTTAATGTCTTACTGAGATACTGTTTGCTACGAGGGAAATGAAGGGAAGGAGAGGGGAAAATTTTTTTAATGAGCTCTATCTAAAAAATTGAAAAATTGGGGTTTTAAAAATTTTAATGAAGAGAAAAAGTAATATAAAAGAATAATAAAAATTAATTAAAAACTTTTAACTTCACTTTTTAAATTATTTTTAAATCGAGCTCACTAAAAAAATTTTTCTCTCCTCCCCTCCTCTCATTTTCCTTCATACCAAATGGATCATAACAGAGTGTTTGAAGGCTCTCTTGATAAATTTTAACGTCTTCCAAAGGATAATATATAATACAAAACCCAGCAGTAACATATGGCCACCTGAAAGAATCATTATTATAGGTAGGGCCCTAACAGTGCAGAGTGATTGCCAAATTATATTTTTTATAATATTGTCTTTCCATAATTTTCCTTAAAAGTCACTGCTATTATATATCTTTTCTGAACTTTTTATATTTAGTTTTGGGATTAATATAATTTTTGGTCCTTTAAAGTTATCTTTATTTTGGTTTTGGTTCCTTAAATTTCTTTTCATTTGAAACATATGTCCTTATAATCCAATAAAAATCTGGATCATTTTACCTCTCGAGAGACTAAAACCAATAATTTGAAACTTGAGGAACTAAAACTAAAATTAGAATAAACTTGAAGGATCAAAAATTATGCAAACTCTTAGTTGTATATGAGTGGTGTTTCCCGCCTTATTCCTTCCCTCATTCTCAATTCTTCATGGCCCACCCACACCTTCTCCTTGTCCACCATTATCTTAATCTATAGCTTCTTTAATTTGTTTTTTCTTGGCCTTTTTTGTTAATGCTCTGAAATAACTGCGTGTAATATTTTTCCAAAATCAACAGTATATATGTACTCGTTCTTAGCCCCTTGTAGGCCCAATTTTTTTCCCCCAGAAAAAGAAAAGGAATCAACAGTGTGTCAATTCACCACCACAATCATCCTCCATATATTGAAGTAAACTGATGAGATCAACATCTTTCAGGTTTTGGATATCTGAAATCAAAGTTGCCTTCATGTCTTCATCAGTATCTTTATTACTCCCTTTGCTTCATTTGACACTGAATCTCATAAGATAAAAAACATATTTTGAACAATGCATTGGCCTCTAACCTTTGACAAAAAAGGTACTTCACAAGTTTATAAGGCCAAGTTGGTTTGAAAGCCTCTGACCTTTAGGTTTTATTTAATAATAGAAGGAAAGAGAGACAGAGCTTTTCAAAGTGATTTCTAATTCTCTAGTTATCAGATACACATGCATTTATGATTTAAAATCCTATATACTACTTCTGGTCCTTAATATAAGACCCAATTAACTAATTTAAGAAAATTAAGAAAGCTACTAAATTACTTTAAACTATTTATATTTATTGTGTTTTTCAAATTAATTCGTCTCACTTATAAATTGATATGTAGTCTAATGATCCGCAAAAATATTTTAAAGAGACCATGTAATATATCCTATAATTAAATAATTTAATAATTTTATTAATCTCTCCAAATTAGTTAACAAGATCTTATATATTAAGTATCGGAGGTATTAGTTAGCAAGGAAACTTTCCCACTTCGCAAATTTCATGATTTTCCTCCCTTGTAATCCAATTCTGTTTTAGTTAAGAATTAAACTCCGATATAGGAATTCAAGTTGAATATTTGAAAACATAACACCAGCTGAGAATGCTCATTACTATTAATCACCCAAATTTTATATCTGGATACTTGCACGGCCTCTCATAAGTGCGTATTAATCCAAGGAAACAATAAGAGAAATTAGCTTACACAGGGAAATGCTTCAGGCAGAGAAGTAACTGATGTGCCGAAGGGTGAGTTTGCCAATTCCAACTTTTTGAACACACTGCCCAGCAACAAAAAGATACATAAATTTGAGCTCTCAAGGTTTAGAATCAGATGACATAGTTTTTTACATTTTTTTTCTCTGATGTGTTTCTTTCTTGGACCCCCTTGATCTTCTGTCTTTGCAGCACTCTGCATAGTAGAGAAAAGTGAGAGCAAGTTATAATCTACAGCATCATGCATGATCACATCAGTTGATGTAGTAACTAATTTAGCATTCTCTGATACGTAGAACCTTCAAAAAGTATTTAAGTTTGCAGAACATATTTGATTTCCTGGTAGGTCCAAAAGTAATGTATATTCCAACTTTGGAATCACATTGACATTCTCCGCCTTTCCTTCTTCATCATCTCCATTAATTTCAAACACCTGCTCTAGTTTATTATCAAGAAACTTAGCTTGCAATCTTGTTCTGAATTTTTCTTGCATCCATGGCATTGGACAGGAACACAAAGACTAGTTCATCAGGAAACTGCTCTGTTATTTAAATTCCAGACTTCTTTACCGCTTTTGCCATTAGAGAGTATGCTCCATACAACCATTTCTCAACTTTCTTTGCATCTTTGGCCCGATCTACAGAAAATTGTGATTGCAAGTTCTTTTTCTGTTTAAACCCCTAACGTAGTTGTTGATATCGAAAGGATAACAAGCTTCAAGTATTACTTCATCTGCTAACCTGTTCAGGACAGCAGTTGCAACAGACACTGAAAGCACATTTAATATAACCAAAACAATGTTTGAAATGTAATTTGAAAAATAAAAATAATCAGTTCACATTATGCTACAGGTAATGAAAACTTAACATGTTAAAATCAATGAGGTACGTATGATAACTCATTTAATTTCAAAATATTCCCATAAGAAGAATATGGCAAGCTATATACCTAGATATATACGGCACACACGTGCTTGCTTTGCCCTTAATTTCAAGAGCTTATTTACTGTTTTAATTCACTTTAAATTCACACACACACACATTTTGTTAATGTTGCACTATGTATTTTACTGTACCCACGTAACAGACAACATGTAAAATAAAATTATGGAAAATTAACACAGAAAAATTGTAAAAATATTAATACACTTCAAAATAGTTCCATGCTGGTATGCCATGGATGCATGGAGGCTATCTGAAGAAAAACAATTCTAAGCTTGACCTTGATTTGAAGGATCTGTTAATTCAAGTTTCCAATTTGATTGTTTAGCTCTGCCTTCTGATTCAATTGATCCCTGTGAACTTCCCAAATTTTTGGATGATCAGGTTCCACAATTGAGACAGCAACACAATATCAAATGAGGAAAGGTTAAGGAGCCAGCTTTATGGGATGGATGACTTTAGACCTCTGGTGTTGAATGTAATGCATTTACAATAATATTATCTTGAATCTGATCATTGAAAGGGAGGATGTTAGGGGGATAGCTGAAAAAATAAAAATAAAAAATTCAACTTGCATTTGAATATTAGAGGGTTAGCTAAACAAAAAAACTCAGATAATAATTTGTTGTTAACAAGAAGTATGCCAACGTTCAAATGGCATTCCAAACATAAGCATTTTAAATTTCTTATAACATGGTAATTTTCTGGTTCTAAATATAAGACCCATTTTGTAATTACACTACACAATTAGTCTTATATTAAGGATCGGAGGAGTATATAATATAATCTTATTGTATTTTCAAACATGCCCTCATTATCAGATCCCGCAGCTGAGTTATTTTCCTGCTCCAGTTTCACCCGACTCCAATAGCCCAATATCAAAAATTTGTTGCCCACCAAATAAATCTCAATCAAAAGCCTGACATGAAGAATACAAATATGATAATCACCAAATCTTAATCTTGAATAAAATTAAAATTTAACCCACATTTCAGGAAAGAGATAAAGGAATGAACAAGAATTACCAGGAAAAAAACAGAAAAACAGAAAGAATTGCAAGTTCCAAGATTTGTTCACATAATACCTAAATCACACAACAAAGGAAAGAAAAGACCAAAGACAAATTTGTGATTCACAACATGAATTTCCCTGGATGGTAACCTGATGAAGACAGGCAAGTCTGATCGTGAAAAATGAGCAAAGCAGAGGTTCATGAGGATCCCAAGAGATTAGTAGGAAAACTAAGTACTTAAGTAAACTTCCATGAACTATACAAGAAGAGAAGAGACATCAGTCTCTATCTCCAGTTCTACTAATAAAATCATTAAACACTACCTTGTCCTCTTTCTAAAAACCATGAGCTAAAGTCAAATCCCGGTAGAACTTTAAAAAGGATCACTCTCTTTGGAAAATATCACCATACCTTTTATCAGAAATTATAATACTACCTCCGGTCCTAATTATGATAGATTCTCCAACATTTTCTCTTAGCCAAACTATGCAAAGAAACAGAATTGGTAGCAAGGGTGTCGGGCTATTCCTAACCCTCCCTCTTCCATACCATATCAGAGAACCCAAAATAATACTCCTTCTGTTCGTAATGTAAGATTTAATTAACTAATTTGAGTATGTTAAGGATGTTAGTTAAATTAGTTAATATGATATATTTTTTCTAAAACACCCTAAGCATCTTTCTTAATTTCATTCCTTTCTCTACTATTTGATTATTGTTGGGGAGGGTTCACTTGAGAAAAAATTGATAAATATGTAGAATAAGTTTTACATATAGGACTAATATTAACTTTCTAGTTAGGTCCTAGATTAAGGACCAAAGGAGTAGATTTTTTTTTTAAAAAAAAATGTAAATCCAGATAAATTAAAAAATAGAATAAAGTATGAATACTAATTCAAAGAACAGAACAATGACGAATGTAGTCTCAGGTAATTCATAGAAACAACACCACTGTAATTTGAGAGAGTTAGTCTTCCTAGGTTTTGTAAAGAAGAAATGTCAATAAATGCTCATTTCTATGGGAACAGACAGTGGAGATTGTTTACCGTAGGGAGTAACTTTGACCATTGTAGAATTGATCGTTTATCAGAATCATTTTCATTTTCAAGAACCAAAACATTAAGCTTCTTCATACCTTCATAAAATTCATTGGTTACCTATACTGGGGTCTCGACCTTCACGGAGATGAAAAGAAACTTGAGTTTGGAAAACTCAAGCTTATGTGATCCATTAATATCTCATTGTATCCCCCATATGATTATCCGGATCAAATCACAGGATTCGCGACTCCCATGGAAATTTTTTTTTATTTTTTTGAAAAGAAACATACAGACATTTCTTGCACAACCATTAACTATCAAATGAGCTTCCAAGCACGGAATAAGATTCACCCAAGTAATTAACTTGTAAAATTTAGTTCAAGCCTTCAACGAGATAGCTCATTAAATAAGCTGTCAACTAAATTACAGAACATAGATTCCACAGAAAATAATAGTCCAACAATTGTATTAAAGCCTCTCAAACTTTATTTGGTCTTTCAAAGTAAGCAGAAGAAGAATCAAGAGAGATTTCTGCTAGCAATGTTCTGCTCAAACTGGCTGCCCAAGACTGACCATTTATGATCAGCCTGAAACAATTGTTGCCGAGCATTTCTTTGATCTTCCACCATCTCAGACTTCTTTGAACTCTTCTGTTTCTGCAATATACTTCCTCTTTTGCTCTTGAAGAGACAACATTTCAGCCTCACAATCTTTTCTCTGTTTCTCCAACATAGAGATCTGCTCCTTCAGCGTAGCTTCCGTCTCTTCAGCTTCATCCATAAACTTCTGGGTCTTGGACATTTTGGAAATAAGAGCAATAGCAGCCTCCTTTCGTTGAGTTAGCTCCTCATTGATCCTCATATCTCTTTCTTCAAGGTCTGCACAATGGCAAATGCTTGCTTGAAAGAAGACAAAATGATAGGAAAATCTTTATGCATAGATTTTATCATAGCCATAACTCCATGGGATATAGCTCCATCTTCCAAGGAGAGGCGCGACAAGAAGTTGAGGGCTGTTTGTAGGCGAAGACTACTGGCCTCTGAGGTTGCTATGTCCTTAAGAGGCATCTTCAAGCAGTCTTCCAAGTCAGCAAGGGCCTTTGCAACAAGCTCATATTTAGGGGCAGCAACAGGAGGAACAGATGATTCTGGTGATCTACGACCATAATCGTCCTCCATAGATTGAAGCATATTGATGAGATCATCAGCTTTCAAGTCTTGAGGATTTATCACAGGAATCACCTTCCCATCTTTTTCAACATCTGACTTCCTTGGGTTGAACTCGATTTGACTTTGAATCTAATAACAAAAAGTGGATTTGAAAAACAACACATGAGACTAAGCTTCAACAGCAATATTTTCCTTTCTACTAAGATATAAGCTGCATATACAAGTCTTTTTAACTCATTATCAAACCATGTATCATTTTAAAAGCAATATATATCAATCTTCTATTCGATCCTCATATCATTGCTAGCGATTCTGTGGCCACAAGATCGTGAATCATGACTATGTATAGGACTCAGACAGTTTTGCAAGTGCCAACAAAAGATATCATGTTTGGGCCAAGAAAAGTATTAGAAAGCTTACATGTGGAATTGTGTTTGTTGAGGAAGTAACTAAGGTTCCTGGCAGCAAGCTTGCTAATTTTGAATCAGTTGATGAGGTAGTTATCTTAGCTTTCTCAAACGATAGGGAACCTTCAAAGCTTCCTTTAACATCCTGTAGAGAAATAAATCATGACCTGTAAGGTTTATGTATTCAGTGTTTAAATTAGTTTGTAGAGAGTTGAATTTTATCCCTACATTTTCCCTTAATAGGGCTTCCTTTTGAGTACTCTGACCTTCCAGATCTCTAACACTCTACATAGCTCAAAAAGAAGAAAAAGATGAGAATAAGTTGCACCATATATATGAATCACGCATGCATTGCTTTGATTTGATGAGGAATTATTTTTTTTGAAATTTCAATTTTTGCAAGTGATTGTTGCTGGTCCTTCAAACCTGATTGATTGGTTGATATCATATTGACCACCTCCTTACATATAAAAATCATTGGACGTATAGTCAAAATCAAATAGGTTAGTCTTAACAAGGAACTTATTTGCAAATACTTTTATAGTCTAGAGACTTTTAGGACGCTTACAGTTTCATCATCAAGTGTTTAAGGGAAAGAGATATCTATAGGATTGCTTTTTGACGGCTTGCTAATCGATTGAGGAGGTAAAGATGAAGTTGGCATTGCTGCAGATATCTCTGAACTAGGCATTATTTAATTGGTACTCTAGGACACCATATCCAAAAAGGCATAGTTAACTAATGTTACTAGCAGAAGAAAGACAATATTAGTGCAAGATACAATATAGTAAGACAGTGAGGTTGACCTTAGTTGAGCTTTCCGGTTCTGAATGAGCTAATGAAGTAGATATCTGGACATATTCTGATGTAGTACACTCTTCAGCTCCTCCTTGAACATTCTACACCACATTTAAAGATAGTCAATATTGACTGAACCAATTGCTTAACAAGTCTCTCTTTCATGCACTTCAATCTTCTAACTCTTTCTTGTTTTGCATGAGTGAACAAATGCATTCTATATCATATATTATACATGATGATGTCTATCAAGCATGAGCGAGACCAAATCCAATAGATATAATGGATTTACTAGGTGTTCAAGTAAGAGATGGAAGACATATGCATACCTGTTTCAAGCTTGGTGAAGTAATAGATGTCAATCCTTGGTCATTCCTCTGGTCTCCAATTTCTTGACAACCGATTTGTTGGGTGGTTTTTGTGTCAGAGTCATTCGTGGGTTTGATAATATCTCTTAACCCCTCCCGTAAAAATTCATACTCGAAAGAACATCCTATCGTATCATCAATCCCAAAAATTATTTAAAATAACAATTGTATGCAAATAAATTCTATCTATTTAAAAAAAATATTTGAAGTATATAAAATATTAATGTTCATTATTATATTTAAATATACAAAGTACTTAATTTTACGAACTTGAAGAATGTGGCATACATAAAATATTATTGAACTACACCCACATATTAAGTTTAGAAAGATACTGAGGAGTAAGAATTCATCACGGATGGTTAGATATCTTGTCGGCAAAAAATGTGCAAGTAATATAAATGTGTATATGTGTATGCATATTGTAGTACCTTTGTTCAATTGGTCAAACAATTCCTGAGGAGTAACAGAGGAAGTAAAAGATAGTTTGGGACATTGTCGCACAACAACGTGCCTCACAGTTTGCAAGGCGGTGGATAGATTGACCGAAGTGAGTGAGGGGAGGTTCCAAAGCACAACATATTCCAATTCCAATGCTGAAGTGGCAACCTCATATACGTGTGTTGTGTCATGTTGTTTATCTCCAAATACTTGCTCAAGTGCAGGTGTATCTTCTATGTACACTGCCTTTAGATTTGGAATCACTCGGCATGCAGAGATCTTAGGGAATAAGCATTTCAACCTATGGCAATGTTTGATGCTTATTGAAACAAGTCTTGGGAAGACCGGTTTCGGAGAAGTCGACACATTTTGATCATCTTCTTCAATGATTTCCTCCAACTCATTACAGTTTGTAATGTAAAGTTGATTCAATTGTGGGAATTCTTTCAAGATGGATGAAGGGAATACTTCTTTCAAATTTCCACAATTCAATAGTTTTAACCACCAAAGATGTTGAAGGAGTAAAGAATTTTTGGGACCCCTCCATATATGCCTCAATTTGGGTAGATGACACAAATCAAGGTCATATAACCTTGAGTTTACTTGTTGTCTATTGATAGGATGCTTTTTGACATAAAAACCAACTTCTACTTTGCAAAACGCCCTTGAGAAAGCTGACCACTATGCAAAGTTTTCAAATGCTTCGCATTTGAAAGAGTTAGACAAGTCAAACTGGAGATGATTCCAACTTGACTTGGATTAGTTGCATGGCCTATCACGTATTCTATCCCATCTGAATCATGAACAGCAAGACGAGTCAACTCACTCATACTTCCTCCTATTATTTGACAGAGGTCAGGAATGATATTTTTCCAACTTCCAGGGATTCTTCTCAAAGAAAGTGTCTTTGCCCTTTTCATCATATCCTTGCTTGCTGCAATTGAAATACAATTCTCAAAATCTTCAATATATAAATTTCTTTCAACAAAAGAATTACGATGCGATGAAAGTGAATGTTCCAAAGAATCTTCATCATTACGACCAAAATGTATGCAATAGCTTTCCAGTGTTGGTATGGCAGTGCTAATTTTATCAAAAAATTTAGCACTATTTGATTTGGGTCTTCCCACTCTGTTCCACTATTACCACAAAAATATAATACTTCCAATTGTGAACATCTCCCCATTACTTCAAAAGGATTCCCTTGAATTTTGCACCCACGCAAATCTAGTAATCTCAATTCCTTCAGTTGTATGATGTACTCTGGAAATTCATTGAAAGAACAATTATGCAATGTAAGAGACTCAAGTCTTTTTAAGTTCCCTATCAAAGAGATATCACCTAGTTTGCAACTGTATAGCATTAGGCAACACAAGATATTTGCCATGGGGACCAAAACAGGCAATGGAAGAACTAGTAAATCTCTCTCAAAATAATTAGTATTTCTAAGAATCAAAACTCTAAGCTTCTCCATATCATTGAAAAAATCATTGGGTATAGTCACAGGAGACTTTGAATTTACGGAGACATAAAGAAACTTAAGTTCAGGACAATATAGCTTGTTGGGACATTTATCAACGTCTTCAAACCATAAATATCTTACTGTGTGGTCCTTCATTTCCATGTCCTGTTTTGATCGTCCCATAATCAACTTACTCTCCTTTTTTGCTATCCATAGGGCTACATCACGAACCAAGTCATGCATTTTGATGTGATGACTTCCAACTTCATCATGAACTTCTAGCAGAAAACAAGAATCTATAAGCTTCTTTATGGCTTTATTGATCACTTGAGTCCTTGCCCACTGACATGAGGAAATATCTCCAGCTAGACCAAGGCCTAGTCCAATTATGGTTAATTGATCAATATGAATTTTATAATCTTCTGGATACACGGAACAAAATAAGAAGAGTGACTTAGCCACCTCATTCCCTAAATGATCATAGCTTAATCGAATACATGCATAAGTGGGTTTTAAATCATCTTCAATATCTATCCAACTAGAATCTCTCAATGTTTTCCCTGCTACAACCCACTGATCATAAGGTTCATCCTTCAAAGAACTGGCTACTGCTGCAATTGCAATAGGTAAACCATCACATTTTTTTATAATTTTTTTTGCTATATCCTTCCATTTATCAAAGCAATCATCATACACCCCAGCGTGCTTCTTAAAAAGGGCCCATGAATCATTCCTGTTTAAACCCTCTAAGGGAATTTTTTTTTGGCAACCCATCAGTTTACATACACGTAAGTTGCGGGTGGTTATAAGAGTAGTGCAACCCATTTGATCATTATCAGTTGGAATCCCTATGTCCTCAAAATTCAGCTTCTCCCATACATCATCCAGAATAATCAAAAACCTTTCTCCACTACTCAATCGCATGGATAAGCGTCTAGCTCTCACTTTTGTCTCTTCCTCTTTTATTTCCAAGTTTAGTAGGCTGGCAATCTCGCTCTGAATTTTTTTCACATCAATGGTATTGGACACAAGCACATAGACTACTTTGTCAAAAAATTTCTCTGCTTCTTTGCCCACTTCTTTTACCAAAGTTGTTTTCCCAGACCCGCCCATGCCATACAATCCTATCATATGAACCTTATCATCCTTGATAGCCATCAAAAGATCCTCATAAACTACCTTTCTACTCTGAAACTCCACAAAATCTTGTGAACGAAAATAGTCCATGCCCACAGGTGTAGTACATCGAGAAAACGGTTTGAATTTATCTTGGACATTGTGATTTTTAATTTCATTTGTCTTCTTTTGAAGCTGCTTTGCCAGATTGTAATGACTGATCAAGTTCGGGCAGCGCGTAAGACAAGATATCTTGTTTCTTTTCTTGGTTTTCTCTTGCAGCTCCACCGCTTGTTCCATCAGAAAATCTGCTTTGTGTAACCACTTCTCAATTTTAGGATCAACCTTATGAGTATTCTTCCTCGCATCTTTAGCACGATCTAGAACCTGTTGTATTTTTGATTGCAGGTTCTCTTGTTCTGTTTCAAGCTCTTTGACATATTTGTTGATGCGGAAAGGATAACAAGCTTGAAGTATTGCTTCATCTACTAGCTTGGTTAGTATATTAGCCGTAACAGAAGCAACAACATCCATTGCCACTGAAACAACACAATAGAGCCCAGGTGTTATAATTTGAAGGCAGCATGAAGATAAATGATTGGTATATGACTTAATTAAACACAGAAGTATATAGAGCAACTCTAATTATGCACAAAATCAAAAAATTATTTTGAAAAAGCCTTACCTGTTATTTTGTGAGGAAATTCAGCAAAACATGAGTCTGAATGTGGTTCTTCTCCAATCTAACTGCAACTATGAAACAAGGGAAAAAGTGCAAGAACATAAGAAACAAGGCATGGTTGAATTCGTAAAATCCAAACACAATTTTACCCGTTTTTCTCAGAAATTTTCGATCTCCTTGTAACACATCAACCCAAACACTACTCTCAGTTCTTCTAACATTGACTTTAATTTCAGCACTAATGCACAGCAACTTCTACTTTTGTTTTTCTTACTTACGTTTACTTGCTGTAAAAATTACAACAGCTTAAGCTCTCACGTCAAGTTCCTTATTTATACTATGATCTTACAGTCACTTTACACTCATCCACAGCCTTCTTCAACATTCAATTTTCACACTCTCATGGTAATTAAAACACTGTACCAAGAATTTTCTATTTCTCCACCTATACATTTAGCTTCTAAATTTCTTGAAAACATTGAGAGATTTAATCAATAACTCCAATATTAGTGAGTTAGCTGAATGTTCTGTATAAAACTGTGAACACTAATCAAGATCAAGAATCATAATATATATACAAGATCATGCCTAAATGAATATACAGTAAAAGGGCCGTAGAATAAGAAATGCAACAACACAGCCAGACCACATACTAACCTATGTATTGAGCTTTAATTTCGATCTTCTCCAAATCAAGCAACCAAATTAAATCTCACTACACCCAGAAGCCAGAAAGTAACAATGATTTCTCTCTCACACACTTTCAGTACAGAGACTTGACTAAGTGAAACTTTATTCATACCAAGTCTTTCTTTTTTACTGTACAGCGACTTGACTAAGTGAAACCTTATTCATACCAAGTCTTTCTTTTCTACTCGAGGGTCTTCAAAGTCATGCTTTTATTATTAATTTAATACAAACAAATGCAAACACATACTATAAAATATTGACATAGTGGGTAAAGCCTGTCATAATACATTTTGCCATGTTTCAGAGGATTTTAAAACCCTGCAATTATATATCGCCACCCGAAAGAATCTTCTCTTTATCAGCAGGGCCCTAGGATCAATGTAGTTATAGTCTATGATTCTTTTGGTTTTCCCCGCCGTGGTGAGTCATGCATGGAGGAGCCCACATTTTGGAATCCCATGCACCGGTTTGGGATTTCTTCGTTACGGGGCGCTGATCAGGGTTTTGGGGATTTTCAAGGTACTTATTCGTTTTTTAACCCCTAAGATAACAAGAACAAAATAAGGTTTTTTTTTTTTAAAAAAAAAATTAGAATATAAGTTTTTGGCAAAAAGAAAATAGAAATATATATAATTTTCTCTCCTCTACTGTGCAAAAAATTAAAGTATATCTCTTGCACGCTATGGTTAAGGGGAACTTCTAACTAATTTTTTTAATCAATATATAAATATAAAATTTGAGAAAATTATTTTTTTTTTGAAGAAAATTCTAAAAAAAAATTAAAAATTACTAAATCCCAAATCTCTTACACATTAAGATTAAGGGAAACTTTCACGTTTTAATGAATTTAACTGCATGTGACATACAAACAACAACACATATCAGACTTGTTTTTTAATGAAAATTTTCCAAAAATTTATTACTCTCAATGTCGCTGTTAGTTCTTATTATATTATTTTTAATCAAAATATCTACTCCTCTGGTCCTGTTTATAAGTCACTTCCAACATATTTCACACAGACCAAAAAAAACTTTAAACTTCATTAATTCTCATTTAAAATTTAATAACTTTTCAATTTTATCCCTACTTAATATATATTATACCTCATGTAAATAAAGTCAACACAATAATAAATGAAGGGTAAAATTGTGGGAAAATTACTGTAGAGTCCCACAGAAGAGAATTTACTACTAAAAGGTCCCATGAAATCATAAAATGTATATGAGGTCCCAAGGGACTTTATGGCAAAAAATTTCAAACGTGCAATTACTTTCTTGCCCTTCTGATTAAAGAAAGAAACTGAAGCACACGATTGAGAGAAAAACTCCTATCGGTTGTCATCTTCATGAAATCCGCCGCCGTCTCGTTCGTGTCCATCCTTGTGTGCTCCGACAACTTCAATCTCCGGCGAGGTCTGTCAGTGTCTGCTCGGTACATTGTCGCTCGCTGCTCCGCACTCCTTCGGTCTCTGGTCCGCACTCAGTCGGTCTCTAGTTGGACGCCTCCAATCTCGTGCACGGTCCGTCGCTCGCTGGTTCGCACCCCACTACCAGCGAGCCTCGTGGGTTCCATCATCGATGACCTTCGCACCCCACCGCCGGCGAGCCTCTCTCTCTTGGTATATCATATTGATATTATCTATTACTGGTATATTTAGGTGAGACGCTTCTCAGTTTCAGAGCAACAGTTGGCTATTGTGTAAGTTGTATTATTTAAATTTCGAAGTAATGTTGGCTATTGTCAATTGTTGTGCATAAGTTGTTATTACAGTGATCGAAGGTTGTCATTAACGACCCCATGACCTATCCTGTTATGTAGGATGGAAGACTTGTGTAAGTTGTATTATTTAAATTTCGAAGTAATGTTGGCTATTGTCAATTGTTGTGCATAAGTTGTTATTATAGTGATCGAAGGTTGTCATTAACGACCCCATGACCTGTCCTGTTATGTAGGATGGAAGACTTGTGTAAGTTGTATAATTTAAATTTCGAAATAATGTTGGCTATTGTCAATTGTTGTGCATAAGTTGTTATTACAGTGATCGAAGGTTGTCATTAACGACCCCATGACCTGTCCTGTTATGTAGAATGGAAGATTTCTGTAAGTTGTATTATTTAAATTTTGAAGTAATGTTAGTTATTGTCAATTGTTGTGCATAAGTTGCAATTACCTAAGTGGAGTGATTCCAAATGAACTAGGAAACCTATCACAGCTCAGAAGTTCGTGAGTATAGTATTTTAATGTAGTTTCTGGTTCATTTCATCCAATTTATGTTGTTATAAGGATGGACAAATCTCATTCATTCATCATATTCCTGTATTTTCTAGGGTTATATCAAGTAACTCCCTCAGTGGGAATATACTATTCTTTATATGTTGTAATTGGTTGCTCTATATGTTGTCATTTACTATCTTGTATGTTGTCATTTACTACTCTATGTTGTCATTCACTAGTATGTACGCTGTCAACTGCTTATTTATATGTTGTGATTGGTTGGTGTGAAGGTTGTTATTGTCTTGTGTGCAGGTTGTCATTAGCCTCTGTTAGTTTGTCGCTTGCTTATGTATAGGTTGTAATTTCCTGCTGTTCTTGTTGTCATTCGGTTTAGCGTGGATTGTCATTGGCTGCTGTGTATGTTGTGAATGGCACAAATGTAGGTTGTGATTGTCTGATGTGTAGGTTGTGACTGTATGCTGTGCATGTTGGATGCTTGTAATCCCCTCAAGAAATCCATGACTTGAAGGTTGGATGCTTGTGGTGGCTTGTAACTTATCAGAACAACCTGCATGGTGATCAAGTGCTGTCTTTGCTACGAGGAAACTCCCAAAGCAAGAAGAAGAAATAAACGATGAGCATAGATTGTATTTAGTTTTTTTTATTTGACAGCTGAATGTAAAGTTCAGATTTTGTTTCTTTATTTGACCATGTAGTGATAGCTAGATGTTAAGATATGTTAATGTGTATTGACATCATTTACTGATTATGAAGTTTTTGTAATGACATTATTGTGTTTTGACAAAACAGGAAATTCTTCGTTCCATACACGGATCATGTCCACAAATGCAGACTAAATAAAACTGGATAAACAAATGGTAACCATGATGACATGATAGGCATATATCACAATCATCTCTGCCACATCCATTTACAACCTCAACGGGGGTTGTTGACAACCCGAAGACAAGTGGTTAACAACCTGGGCAGTGTCCCTGACAAATCACTCTGTGGGATGCCACAACTTCTAAATAGATTGTATTATCAGCATATATAACGACCTTAGAAAAAAATTAAGAGCATTTTAAAGTTATTAACAGCTTTAATTGAACCCAATAGGATTACAGTAGATTTTTACTACAGCAATTCATTTACAACCTCAACAGTGGGTGTTGACAACCCGAAGAGAAGTGGCTAACAACCTTCGCAATGGGCCAAACAAATTTGTATGAAAACTTATCAGCAATGCTGTACCTATATAGTGCTTGTTTAAGGGCTACTGCATTAGGAAAAATTTATCCTTCTCCAATAACCAGACCCTTTCACTTTGTTGAATTCCTTTTCGAAATTGGGGTTGACATCATTTCTGAACCACATGACAATGATAGTGGGTCTTCACTAAACACATTGGGTGGAAACATGGACAATGCATCTGAACCTTTGAACAAGTCTTCCATCCTACATAATAGGACAAGTCATGGGGTCGTTAATGACAACCTTCGATCACTGTAATAACAACTTATGCACAACAATTGACAATAGCCAACATTACTTCGAAATTTAAATTATACAACTTACACAAGTCTTCCATCCTACATAACAGGACAGGTCATGGGGTCGTTAATGACAACCTTCGATCACTGTAATAACAACTTATGCACAACAATTGACAATAGCCAACATTACTTCGAAATTTAAATAATACAACTTACACAAGTCTTCCATCCTACATAACAGGACAGGTCATGGGGTCGTTAATGACAACCTTCGATCACTGTAATAACAACTTATGCACAACAATTGACAATAGCCAACATTACTTCGAAATTTAAATAATACAACTTACACAATAGCCAACTGTTGCTCTGAAACTGAGAAGCGCCTCACCTAAATATACCAGTAATAGATAATATCAATATGATATACCAAGAGAGAGAGGCTCGCCGGCGGTGGGGTGCGAAGGTCATCGATGATGGAACCCACGAGGCTCGCTGGTAGTGGGGTGCGAACCAGCGAGCGACGGACCGTGCACGAGATTGGAGGCGTCCAACTAAAGACCGACTGAGTGCGGACCAGAGACCGAAGGAGTGCGGAGCAGCGAGCGACAATGTACCGAGCAGACACTGACAGTCCTCGCCGGAGATTGAAGCTGTCGGAGCACACAAGGATGGACACGAACGAGACGGCGGCGGATTTCATGAAGATGACAACCGATAGGAGTTTTTCTCTCAATCGTGTGCTTCAGTTTCTTTCTTTAATCAGAAGGGCAAGAAAGTAATTGCACGTTTGAAATTTTTTGCCATAAAGTCCCTTGGGACCTCATATACATTTTATGATTTCATGGGACCTTTCAGTAGTAAATTCTCTTCTGTGGGACTCTACAGTAATTTTCCCTAAAATTATAGATCTATAACAAAAATTTTCCTTAATGCCCTATAAATAGGACTAAAAAATATTTTCTCTCTCTAGCTTATAAATAGGATAAGAGGAGTATAAAATAGTGACAACTTCATTTTCGAGGTCCATGCAATATGATAATCTGATCACATGGTTTGAGGTAGATGCTTATTATTAAAATACTACCACATCACATCAGCATGAAGACAGAATAATTAAAACAATTACCAAAAAAAAGAACAAAAAATGAGATAAAAAAATAAATAAGAAATTAATTCATTTAATTTCATCTAGAATTTTCAATTGTTTAAAAAAATGAAAAGAAAAAAGAAAAGTGATTTTTTATCAATAGAGTGGGTTGACTGAATGGTTCCACGAAAGCTGTGCACGCTACTCAAAATTGGAAAATCAGATTGGATCGAAACCGGCCAACAGACAAAAAAAAAAAACAATGGCAGGTGGGTCCATCCGTTATAACCGGTCGATCCAAGAGAAATTCCGTTAATCCCACCGGTTCGATTCTGGTCAAAAAAAAAAAAAAAACTGGTTTGATAGGTTATCCTGGTTGTGTGCGTTTTATTTCTTGAAGAAATTCATTATTGAAATTATCTGTTCCTCTGAGTGACTGTGACTTTTATTGGTCTCTCAAGCAGTAAAACTTGGATTCATTAGAAGATACTTCGTTCATCATCTGCTCATATCAATTACTGAATATGTATTCATAATTAAAAGGCTTAGTGTTAAGAAGAATATACATTGAAAACAGCTTATTACTCTCACAGTTTCATGAGGAACAGCTTGGGAATAATTTGACAATTCCATATGAGGGATTATTTGGAGATATATAACAGCATTGACCTTAATACTTTTGCCAATTTCTATCTTTCCTGGTTGACCTTGATTTGCTTCCAAGCAAAACATGCAAAGATGAATTGAGAAAACAACCTTCTAGTTTTATACTATAGCAAGTGATACTTTCTTCATGACTTTTTGTTCTGGAGGTAGGAATATGTAACTAAAATTATGGGCTGAATAATAACGATGAACTGATTCAAGCTCAAACTACTACATGTAGAATATATAACACTGATGTGAGAGATGTGAGATGCGGACATTGAGTCATGCATGAAGGAGAGTCCAGATTTGGGAATCCCATGCAGCGGCTTGGGTTTTGTGAATTTTTAAGGTATTTATTTGTCTCTTTTTTTTTTACCAAAAACATTTATGAAATGACATACTACCTCCGATCCTAATTATAAGAGCCAGTTGACTAATTTGAGGAAATTAAGAAAAGAAGTTAAGTTAGTTATTTGTAATAAATAGATGTTATCTTTCCTAAAATATCCTTACTAATCAAGTATATTGGCTAAAACTATAATTATTAGAAGGACTATCTTGAAAAAAATTGAGTAAATGTGAGAGAGAAAATGGATTGGGGTCTTATATTTAAAACCAACATAAAATTCAAACGGGATCTTATATTAAAGACCGGAGGTAGTAGTAAGGTTTATTTTCTCAAAAACATTAGCGTAGTTGTTTAAAAATTGAAACAATGTGGTAATGCCAAGTTTTTCTCTGGCATTGTGCAAGAAATTAAACTTTATCTCATCACGGGGGACTTTTTCAATTATTTTTAATTAATATATCTTTAAAATTTATTAATCCGGATGCCCTTCTTATGGATAGCAACAACTTTATTCTTGAGGTCCGTGCTGACCGTGCAATATGACCTGATCACGTGGCTTGGAGGCTGATGCTTAACAAAGTAATACTATTC